ATAAAATTATGGTACAGAATTATGAGCTATTTGATTAAATGGGTGCTGAAGTGCTCAACTCCTTAAAGACCAACTTAGTCTAGGTATATGAAAACAAGCATTCTTAATGTAAGTCATTATAGTTTTGGAACTGTAACCAAATATAACCATTTTCGTAGAAGCTGGAGGATAAAATGGAAAGTGAAAATTAAACAGGAAAAAATTTACTGCTGTTTCAATCATGCTGAGTTATTGTAGTCATGTAAGAACGCTTAGAAAAGCATGAAGTAATATTATAGAGAGACTTGGCATTCCAACTCTCTGGCAAGCAAAATGATGCAGTATTATAAAAGTTAATATTTCTTGACACATGCTGACATTTTAGTTAAAGCTTCTAAATTATTTTAGACTTTAATGGAGAATGCACATACTTTTTGCTGCATTTCTGGTAACCTTTTCAAGTGGTTTGGTGCAGAGCTTTATTTGACTGTGATCTGCCTTAGATACTTGGAAATTTTAATCTTTGCTTAGGCAGCTGTTGATTCTGTGTAGAGGTTGAGTGGGAAGCTCTCTGCTTTGGTGTCACTCTTCTGCATGTTTCCTTTTCTCCTATTCTTACTCAGGGTGTGATGAAATTAATTTTATACAGGAGGGACACCCTGTGTGTTGTTTTTTTTTTTTTTTTTATGATGCCAAAGGATACAAACAGAAGGTCCTCCCAACCTGCACATTTGCTTCTGCTCTGCCATTCAGTCTGCCTGCACTGCTTTCCAGAGTTTGGTGAATGTCCTTAATCCAAAGGGAGATGTCTTCCAAAATGAGTCACTTAACACAATGGTATTAAGAGCGGTTTACTCTGAGCCTGACAGAGAGGGATTTGAAAATTAATGGAAACTAATGCTCTGCTGTGCTTTGCCTGGGCATCTGATATTGCCACAGTAGTCCCTGTTCTAGAGCACGTGCCCCAGTTTCAGTATTTCACTGTTTGGAGATAAAACCTTCATCTTGGGACATGATTCCAGTCCCTTTAAATTGCTGAAATGGCATTGTAGGGGGAGTGATTGTGCTGAGCTCTGAAGAGAGAGAGCACAGAAACTGCTCCAGGGAGTACAAGGAGGTTGTCCCTGCTTTGCTGTTTCCCAGGTTGAATTGCAAGATGTCAGTGATGTGCTTGAGTGTAATCATAACTTCTGGTTGGTTGTCTTGGTACTGCCTTGTTTAAGCCTGATTTTAGCAGGATGCTACAAAGGTGCCTGAAGGATCCTGATGGCACCCCCGTGGGTTGTGCATTAAATGCAAGTGGTCAGTAGAGTCCGTGTGGCCAAGGCCAGGCTGATTCCTCCTGCACACGTTTCTGGTAGTCAGAGTGCAACCAGACAGGGAGCCAAGCTGTGGCATCCCCTCTGGGCCTCTAGAGGGAGAAAGGAGAAAGACTCACCAAGGAGCTCAGAGCAGCTTATTTCAAATGGAATAGGACACAACAATCCATTTCCTTCCCTTGCACTCACTGCCTGTGATTAAAGAGAAAAATAACCAAGATACCCAGAAGAGAAGGTGGCCAACCACCCAGAGAGCATCTCTTTCTCCCTCTGAGTTTTCTGAGAAGTTTCCATCTCAGAGCAGAGAGAAATCAACCCTGGCTTCAGGAAAAGAGGAAGGTGTTTGTGCTCTGTGTGTTAGATGATGTGCAGTGTGTGTTTGCACTGGTAGGTAGAAAATGCAGTTCCAGGAGCTACATTTGGGAGGACCAACGTGCCCATGGCAGGGTTCTGGCACTTGAATCCTGCAGGCCAAAGAGGCAGTCTGTGCAGGATAATCTTAGAGGATATACTACTGCTGTTTTCGGGGATTTGAGGTGAGGGTTGAATTAAGTGTGAAATAAACCGGCTGAGCCAAGTCCCGTAAATTGTACCATTAAGGTCACCACTCCCTGTCTGGTGGATAAAGCCAACCAACTTACCGGTTTTTGGGGATGAAGTGCTGCTGAACTTGGTGTAGGAACTGCTCGCTGAAAAAATTGGAGAGGCGGTAACGGCACGGCGCAGAAACACTCAAATAATATGATTTAGGCTGCATTTTACGTTTACAGCTGTCTCTGTAGATTTGTTCTGATTTCTAAACACTGTCTTGTAATGTCTTGGGTGGAGCTGGCTTTGCTCTGTTGCTTGGTGCTTCATGATCACCTAAAGAAAAGCTCTACTAAAATGCCTCAGTGCACGTGACAGATTTAGGAAAGGTCTTTGAAGATGTTCATGGAAGTTCATAGTGCAATGTGCATACTTCAGCTACGTTAGTTATGTGAGATAAAAGGTATTAAAGCTAATTATTTACATCCACATGAGCTCCTCCACTCTTCTCTCCTTCAGCAGCAGTGCAGGAACACAGCAAAGAGGAAGTTTGGTGTTTTTTTTTTTTTTTTTCTTTTGGAATGATTTCTGTGTCAGGCTGCTTTGTTTCCTGAGCCATAAAATGAGCTGAGCCACACACACACACGGCTGCTGCTGTGAGGTCTCTGCTCTCGTACTGCTGGTTTGCTGGACACCAGCACCTGCCCACCTGTTCTCACTCAAACCAAGGAAATCCAAAAAGAACTTCAGACCACAAAAAACGCCTTAAAAACAACCGCCCTGTCCCATCCAGCCACACAGTCTGGTCAGGCTGGTTCCCTGGAATATGCCTGGCCAGGAATAATGGGAAAGGGTGGGTGGGTAGGAGACTCAACACCCTGCAGACCTTCCTTATAAATCACTTTTTTTTTTTTTTTTTTTAATGCTTACTTTTTTAGTAAAGTTAGTTAGTTAACTATTTTCTGTAACATATGTAAGGTACAATTAGTAATATATTTTGCTGTTTTATTTTTGACAACAGGCAGATGATCACCTTGAAAAATAGTAACAGATTTTAATCTAAATAAGTATCTAAATTACGGTAGTTGAGTTGTAAAGAAAAAAACAAATTCAGCTACTCTTTTTTTGCATGTGCCAATTAGCTAAGTGTTAATAAATCTCCTGTATAAATGAAAATGAGAAGACTCAACTCTGTGGTAAGATAATGTTGCTCATTAATAGTAAGGAAAACCTCCTATTGCTGTTGTAGGAGAAAGGAAGAGAAGTGGATTTTCTATCTAAAAAGCCAAGAAAACACAGCTATGAAGTGATATGTGAAAACCAAGCCCTCTATAGTCTTAGTATTGTCAAAAATTCTCCTTGAAAGCCTCACTTTAACATGACTCTGTTAGTGCAAAGTGTAGAGCAATTACTTACAAGTCTGCTTGGCACAGTGGATCCCAGAGAAACAAACTAACCATAGGATTATCATAAATTACGTGGGTATACAGTGCAGAATTATTGAATAAATCCAGAGTGGATTTTTTTTGTGGGTTGTTTTTTGTTTTGTTTTTGTTTGTTTGATTTTTTTTTTTAATTTTATTTTTTTTATTCTGGTAATCTCTGGATATTCTGGAGACCCCACTGCGAGGAAAACATGACTCTGTCTAGCAAGCATTGGGAATTTCTGCACAGGCCAGCAATTGTCTCTGTGAGCAGAATCATATCAGGCTGGAAGCACTGCCTGCTTTGCCAAGGCTCTTCAAAGGACATGTGACTGTAAACATGTGAATATCCCTGGGGCTACTTTGCTTTGGATGGGAATATTATTTGTCTGTCTCTTGTCATATTCCCCATGTCCAGTTTAATATTATTATTTTTGTTTGTTTATTTTTTCTCCCCCACTGAATTGGCTCAACTCCTGTTCAGGGACTTTGTTCAGGTGCAACTTCCCAAGTGTAGGAATTAATTTTTTTCTTCTATTTTGCTGTGCTTGAACACAGTAAATGAGTATTTCACTATATGAGATGACACTAAGCACGTGTTTAATACCAGTAGTAGGCTTCATAGGTCACCTTTAGAAGAGCTTACTTTCTGTATGGTTACTTGATGATTCCAGGCAGAGAGTGGGTTCATCCCTATTTTCAAGGGTGTTTTAAAAGGCAAAACCTTTTAATTTGCTTTTTATTGTCTGTATCAGTGCATAATTTTGCAAGAGCTCTGATTATATGTACCCTTAACATAAATGCTGGTGTTTTAAATATCATTCCCATGAATAATTGTCCTTTCTGAAGCTGAGTACATCTCACTTTCCCCTGGAGCACAGGGAGAGCTCATATTAGAGAGAGTGGCCCTCGGCATGTTTTCATCTCTGACTAATGAACCTTGGAGATAAGGGCTGTTCCCGGAGTGCACAGACAGAGGAAACTGCTCAGAGCTGAGTCCAGGCACAGAAATAACAGGGGTTTGCCTTTGGCAGTGGAAGCCTGGGAGGAGATTTTGGGCAGGGCAGAGAAAAGCTGTGGCTGCTGTTTTGCTGGTGGCAATGGAGGGGCTATTTGTGGCCCTCTGGGTGCTCCGAGGGGTGACAGCTCCCTGGGTTCCTTGTGACCTTTTCCTCCTTTTCTTTAAGCTCTGATTCTTTATTTTTGTGCCTGTGTTTTTTTTTTTTTTTTTTTTTTCCCTCTGCCCTGTGCAGCTTCCTTACCTGGGAAAAGTTCAGTTTGGCTTCTGCTCGTGGGGTTACTGTGGTGCAAAACCATCTGTAGCCTGAAAGTGCTGCTGGCAGAAAAGTGAGGGGGAAATAACCACTGTAGCTGCAAAATAAGGAGGTTGTAGAGTCCAGACAAATTCCTCTATGACTCTGATTAATAGCAGAAACCTGCAAAATTTGCACATTAAATTGCATTTACCTATAGGAAAGATGGACAGTGGAGTCTCTAATGCTTGTAGACAAAGGGCATAACGTGTATGTTGTCTCTGTGATGAGATAACAAATGCATTTCACCAAAACGAATTTTATTTAAAGAGCGAGCAAGCAAACAAACAAACAAACAACCTCAGCTTGCTAGCATGTTTAAAATGTCAGGGTCTTGAAGGGCCAGTGCTGGGGTCTTGGCAGTTTTAAGGGAGTGTGCTGAGTTCTGAAAAGGCCAGGAGTTGACCGTTAGACAAACAAGAACAAGTTTTACGGGGACACAGTGACACGGAATTACAGCAGGAATTTGCGCCTGTTGTCCTCATCCAGGGTGAGGTCCACGACTTCTGGGGGTGAGGACCAGTTCTGCTGGGGAGCCACTGCTGTCCATGGCTGCGTTTGCTGGGCGCTGATGAACTGGGAGCCGCGCTTCCAGGGGGACACGCTCTGGATCACGCCTCCCCTGGGGTGCACACACCTGGCATGCTCCTGAACTCCAGCAATCTCTACTTCGCTATCAGAAGAGGCAATATTAATTTCTTCACTGGCCTGGGCGTTACCAGAAGAGGTTGCAAGGAAGCCTGGATCCAAATAACCTGCATCAGCACTCATTTCATCCAGCAGCCCTCTGGTTCTCCAGGCAGATGCCGACGCTTGATTTCCCAGAGAACTATTGTGCTCTTGAACTACTGCAGCTGCCAAGAGATTGTCCACATTTACCACTTCTGGGTCCGAGTTTGTGTCTGATATATCACAGTGAGCCCCAATGGGGGGTCCATCTGGTATCTCTGCCGTGATTGTCTTGCTGCTCCCTGAAACCTCTTCGTCGTCGTCGGATGAGCTGGTGCTGGAGTCGCAGGTCAGGTCGCTGTCGCTGGTACTGCTGTCCTGCAGCACGCTGTACTTCTTGCAAGCAGCCGCCTCCCACTTCTGCCTCAGGAGCCAGATCCTCTCCTTGTGCTTTTGGCTTCGGTGGCCCTTGGCCTTGGTAACTCGACCGTTCTGCTTGTCACTGGACTGTTGGTTTTTCTTGGCAGCCATCGCTGACGTTTCGCTCTCGGACCTGGATCTCCTGGATTTCCTCCCAGCCGCGGCCCTGGACGCCGCAGAAGGGTCTCCCTCTGCAATAGCTTCAGTTTGACAGGGCTCGTTCTCTTCCGTGGAAGACAACGTGTCTGAGTCAGCCAAATGCCCGCTGGAAGAAGGGGAGAGCATGCAGTGATTGGAAGAGTCACTCTCATACACTCGGCCGCCCGCTGGCTTGTCGCTCTCCGTGGATGCCAGCTGGGACTCCGAGGAGTCTCGCCGCAGTTCCATCAGCAAGCAAGGCATGGAAGAGAGCACTGCAGAGTCAGCTGCAGTGGGCATGCTGTCCTTCTGGGTTTGCGTCTCAAGCTCTATAGGTCGGTCTTCATCAGGAGCAGTCTCTTGCTTCTCAGAGGCCTTCGGTGGAACTTCTGAATCAGCAAGTTCTTCAGCTTTTCCCACTGCCTTCATCTTCATTGCAGAGAAAAAAGGTCCTCCTGGTCTCAGAGCATTGGGCACGGGGTCTGGAAGAGTGGGCAAACTATATGTGGTCTTGGGGAATATAGCACCCCGCTGGAGGCAGGGCCCCCCCAGGGCTCCCCGACGGGGGCAGTGGCCGGGGCATGGGCGGGCGGAGCGGCGAGAGCTGCGGGAAGCGCTGGGAAGCGCCGGGAATGTGTTGCAAGTATAATTACTCATCCTCTTCTCAGTGGTCTGCAGTTAATGTCCAAGTTCATCTGCTACGTGGCTTGCCTATTATTTCTACTTTGTTCCTTTTTAACTTCTGTGTTGCCGTGGTTTTGCTTTGGGTCAATTTTGCTTTCCACCCCCCACACAATTACTATTAGTTGAGAGTAAGTTTTTGCAGACAAAAGAGAGACAGGATTTGGGGTAAAATAGTATATACATTTATTACTAGTAAAACAAAAACTACTAATAAATTAAAAACTAAAGAACTCTATCTACAACAATTTCTACTCAAGGTAAAGTGCAATATATATACAGAAACACTTCTTCCCTTTTATACTAGTCCAAGGAGAAGAAGTAGTTTCATTCTGTATTTTTGGAGTTCCAGTTCTCTCCCTCTAGCAATAGATCCTCAGCAGCAGCAGTACTTTCATTGCAGTTGGAACTTCTTCTCTCTCCCTCTCGCTCTGTGTTGGCTTCCAGGGCTGGGCTTACCCCCCTCCTGGGCTAAGACCGAAGGCTGGGGGTTACCCAGTCTTGAAGGGTCTTCCTTCCATGGGCTTGCAAGGGGACATTTGCTTACTATGGATCTTCTTCCACAGGGTTACAGGGGATAATGGCTTAAGAGTCCACCCCTGTTTCCCTATGGAGGTCCCTCCCCATGGGAGAACAGTCCTTGATAGACTTCTCGGCATGGGTCTTCGGGCCCGCTACTCCTCTCCCCTACATGGCTGCTGCTACTAATTTCAACTGCGCCAACAACCTTCTCTTCCGTTTTCTTGAAGATGTAATTAGCAAAGGCGTTCCTGGACTTTTGATTGGCCTTTTTGTCCGGAAATTACCTGGACAAAACCATCCTCAGCCCCAGGGATGGGATGGTGGGCAAAACCACGACATGTGTTTTAAGATGAGTTAAAGCAGTAAAGTCATTTCCTCGTGCATTTCACAGTAAAGATGGATGTGGCCATTTTAGCCAGCTCTATGTACCTTGGCATGAAGGGTTCTCAGGACACTGAAATTAAGATATTTTTCAAGGATATGTGTATTTTCTGGACAAACCCACTGCTGCAAGGAGGGAGTCCCAGTTCATACTCAAATTATTTTTTGAGTTGATTATTTTGCTCAGAGGAGTCTTATGTTTTTCCAGCCAGAATTTGTTTCGTTACTATACAATGTGATGTGTGAGTAGGTGATAATCTGATACCTGTGCTCTCCTTCTGACTGGTCAAGCATTCTTTGTTTGCTGTTATTAGAAAGGTGAAAATGTGGAAGACAACTCAAATGCTGAACTCTGTGAACATCTTTCCACACTTGTCTGAGACTTGGGTTTCCATTAATTATTTTTCTAGACAGCAAGTTGCTTTCAGAAGTTATTCATGGGGGAAAACTTTCAGTTTTTAGAATAATAGGGGATAAAAGGTGTGGAATTTCAGCAAGTCCCCCCATATAGAATATTTGGCCATGGAAAAATGTGATCTATTTTTTCAAGTTCATGTGGAATGCCAACGATTGAACTGCAAATACAACCCCACACTTTCATACTAATGAACAAACCCCACATATTTTGTAGGAGCCACTCCAAGTATTGGCTTGGTACCTGGAGTAAATACAGGGAAAAGCAGTCAGACAGCTCTTAACCTACTTATTGTCCTTTTCCCTGAGGTCCTTATTTGTTTTCAATGCCCCAGCTAGGAAAGTGGCACCATCACTATCGTAAGTTCATCTAATACTGGGACTAGAAAGTGATCCAACAGTATTTAAAATGTCTTGCATGCTCACCTTCAAAACAGCATGAAGAAATTACTGTCAGATTCGTGTGCTGTGGGGAAGAGGGACGAACTTTTTAAAGACTAATCTTTGCGTATCATATGAATAGATTAGAAAAGAATGGTTGATTCTTTATGGATGGGGAACTGGCACGTTGGTTGTGTCTTTTAATTCTTTTCAGTGCTGAGTGTCTGTTATATTTGCATTTGTGGTGAAGGGCTCTCACTGGCAGCAGCAGAACTGCCAGTATACAGAAAGGGTGTTGCATCTTTTGTGAGCAGGTCGTGACGACACAACTTTGCACCCTTATTTTGACCGTCGTTGCAGTGATTCCTGTTGGAAATGGGCTTGCAGTGATCACACTCTGTGGGAATGTGCAGGAATGGGAAGTTATGGCAGACAGCACTGTGTTGGCCTCTTCTCCGGAGGAACCAACAGCAGGACAAGAGGAAATGTTGTCCCAGGTTGCCCCAGGGGAGGTTTAGATTGGTTGCAAGGAAAAATTTCTTGACTTAAAAATCTTGCCAAGCCCTGGAACAGGCTGCCCAGGGAAGGGATTGTGTCACCATCCCTGGAGGTGTTTAAAAGATGTGGCACTTAGGGACGTGGTTGAGTGGTGGCCTTGGCGGTGTTGAGGTTTATGGTTGCACCTGATGATCTCACAAGTCTTTTCCAACCCAGAGGATTCTGTGACATTAAAATTAAATTTCATACTAAAAATTTATGAAGGACTGGAAAAATGAAAGCTCAGCAAGACCAGGCTTTCAACCCTGATCCAGCCCTGTGCCTCCACTAAAAGAATGACCATTCAAAAATGGGGATATAAAAGAAATAGGGTCTATGATGTCTTTTTTATTAACTCCTAGTATCTAAAGATTGAGGGTGTACCTGAGTCAGATTTTGAAGCTTTTCTTTTAAACAAGGGTGGCTAGAAGTGTAATAAATAAATAAATGCGTTTTTTTATTTTTTCTTATGCAAGGTGAGTTTCTGCTACATTTGAAGGTCTTATGTTTGATTAGCAGAGTTGAATCTTGCCTTCAAGTGTTTCTATTCCCGTTATGCTATACAATCCACCTGGAAACCTGATCCTAGCTGGAGATAGCAATGAAGTTTGCTCTGGACTTCATTTGCTCTTTTAGGGCTTAAAATATACAGGGTGGAAACTGTATTAGTACATTCAGACTTTGTTTTCTCCATAGACATATCATGCATACCATGTCAGCTGCTGTGTTTAAAATCCTCTGGATATATAGCCAGAAAAGAGTTTTATTTCCATCATTATTTGAGCAAAATGGTGATTAAAAAAAAATATTCCTTAGGTGTAGTAAGTGGCAGAGCTCGTGAAGCCTTAACATTTGCAATTACTGTCTGATTTTGCAGTTAAATATTCTGGAAAAGCTCACTGGGATCCCCCCAAAACATGGTAAGAGGGCCAACAAATAAAAAAGAAAGAAAAACAGTATTTTATCACATCAATTTGATTCAGCAGCACTTCTGTATTAAGATGCCGTCCTTGCACTTGTATTCAGCAGGTCTTTTATTTTAAAAGCTGAACAGCATGAGGCAGCTTTTACCCAAGAGGAGCCCTAATTGGTGATTTGAGAGAAATGTTAAGTATCTCCTCCATTCGTTGATTCTTTTGTTCTGCCGCTGTGGTGAAAGCACGAGGAGGGATACCTGACAAAGGAGGAACCCACAGTTAGTAAACTCTTCACTGCTGCTATGTCTGTCAGGAAATTGGATCAATGAAAATTAATTCACTCCTATAACAGTCATTTCCTCACTTAATGTCTTCATCTAGCGTGAGGGTGCCTTCTTCCCTGCCTGCTTCAAGAGCAGTAAATCAGTTGAGCTCGCTGTTAAAAGGCAATACTACAGAAGTTTTTATATTTTTAGAATATTTTTCCTTTCCCTTTTGTTTTTCTGAGGCTGAAAGCGCCCTGTAAGCTCAGAGAGAAGTTGCGATTCTGTGGCCGTTTTGGCACGTTTGAGATTGTTTTAAATTAGCTTCTTCCACCTCAAATACAGAAATTATTCTTGTATTTTCCTCGTGCCATAAACTGTACTTTTTTTAAGTCACTTCGCTCTTCGTGTGACATTTTGCCCCATGTGGGACAGCAGGGACATCCAGCAGGACTTTGTGCCCTTTTTTGTGATCACACAAGCAAAGAGAGGGAAAAGGGGATATTTCATGCCGTGATTCACCTGTTGAGCAGTGTCAGGACAGCATTTGTTGTCTAAGTTACTGTGACTGCCTTTCTTCTCTAGTCACTGCTTTGTTTGATGGGATGGCAATAACGTCCAGGGGCTGGGATTGTGGGTTTATCACCTGCTCAGTGGGTCTCTCTTCTCATGTGGGTGAACGGCTTTTCCCTTTAGTATAAACCAGGAGGGGACAATAGCTGAGGCAACTGGATTGCTTTTAAGCAATAAATAGCATTTATATGGCCTCAGGCTATGTTTTTCCTTCTCTCTCCAACACTTTAAGAACTTTCCTGGAATGCTTTTGGATATTATTAAAGCTCAAAGAAGCTGACAGTGTTCAGGGAGGTAACTGTGCAGAATTTTTCCACACCTGGTAATTTGTGCTGTTTGTTGTACGAGTGCTCTCTGTAACTGGAAGGCAGGAAAAAAAACCCCAGACTCCCTAGGAAAATGTAACATCTAGGTCATTTCCAAATGCAGGTGCTGCTGCTTTGCAAAGGCTGTTTGGTAGCTTGGCCTCCAATGTTTTCTTCCGACCCGGTAAAAATTGGCAGGACTGTGATTAAGCGTTGACATTTCTGTTCCTCAATTACTGTTTTCTTCTCAGCTATCTCAGCGCAGCTCCCTCGATGTTATTTGGCTGTGCTGACCTATAGGGCTTTCTTAACCTTTGTGTAAACTCAGCTGCCACTCACAGGCTGGATATAATTACTCTTTGGTGCTGAAACAGACCTTTCTCTCCAACTTTGAAGGCTGAAGGATTGCCTCAGGTATTTAGTTAACTGGCTGAACTTTTTTTTTTTTTTTAATTGGTGCAAACTGTTCTCTAACAATTCCTGTTTGTCTACCGTGCAACAACTTTGCTATTTTAAGTTTATACACTCATTCTGATTACATTCAGTGATACACGATATCAGTGCGTGATCATCCAGGCACTGCAAGATTCTGAGACATCCCTGGAGGCC